GGCATTGCAGACCACACGGTCTCTGTCACAGCTACTCGGCTGAAAACAGTCACAGACAGTATGTGTGTGAACGGGTATAACCGTGTTGAAGAAAACTTTATTTAGGTGACTGGATTGGGTCCACTGGCTGTAGTTTGCTGATCTCTGGGCCAGACAGTTGTTGCAACTGGTATTTATTGACTAATCCATTTTCCCCTTGTTCATTTGAAATGCAACCTTTGGCTTACTCTGAATTTCCATGTATGTTTTTGTATAGTATGGACTCTGTTCCACTTCACTGATCCATCCATTTGTGCTCCAATTTTGCCACCTTTGTATATAATATGTTTTAATATCTGGCATGGCTCCTCTCCCCCTCATTAGTCTTTTTTTTTAACAGAATTTTCCTGACTCTTGTAAGTTTCTCGTCATCTGCTGTTATAAATAGAACTGTATTGAATGATGTTTTTGTATGTGTGCAAGTGTATTGGTACATTAAATTTCCGGGAGAATTGGGGGTTAGAGGGTAGGTTTTTCGTTTTGCCAGCCATTGCCAAATTCTCCTCCGTAGGGACTGTTCCATTTTCACTCCTACCAGCAATAGGAGAGTGCCTGTTTCCCATACAGCCTTACCAACAGTGTGTTGTCAAACATTTGGACTTCTGCATATATGTTGCATTAGAAACGTTCTATCACAAATCTTCCATGTAGAAGAATTCCAAATAATATATGTAGATACTCCCCATTCCGGGAGGCAAAGCTTAATCCCCCCCCCCCCCACCCCTTGAGTGTGGGCTAGTCTTAGGGACTCAGTTCTAAAGAACAGAGTGTAGAAAGGGAAAAAGAGAAACTACAGTGAAGAAACCTGGCAGACCCCACCACAGCCACATGATCAAGGTCAGCATCACCAGTGATTAACCATGTTGATACCATGTGCCCCCTTATACAGTGCCATCAGTAGGGCAGATCACCTCTCTTGTATTCTCCCAAAAAAATACAGCCTCCATAATCTCAAGTCTAATCACAAGAACACGACAGACAAACCCAAGTGGAGGTACATTCTACAAAATACCTGACCAGTGCTTTTCAAACCTCTCTAGGTCATAAAAAAAAAACAAGGCAAGACTAAGAAACTTTCATGCGCCAGAGGAGACTAAAGGTGCATGATGACTAAAAGCAGTGTGGTATCCTGGATTCGATCTTGGAACAGAAAGTGGATAGTAGTGGAAAAATAGGTGAAATCCTAATTAAGTTTGTAATTTAGTGAACTTCTTAGTTTTGACAAATGCAGCATGATCACATTTGTCCCCTGCTAACATTAGGGGAAACTGGGTGAATGGTATAAGAGAATTCTATTATCTTTGAACTTTTCTGTAAATCTAAAATCATTTCAACATAAAGTTTGACTTCATCAAGATTAGAAACTTAAGCACATCCACAGACATTGTTCAAGAGAATGAAAACACAACCCACAGAATGGGCGAATGTATTTGCAAATCCTATATCTGATAAGAGATTAACACCCAGAATATGTAAAGAGCTCCTACAACAGCACAGAAAAACTCCATTCACAAAGGGACAAAAGACTTGAACAGATGAAAATATCAAGTGTTGGTGAGGATGTAGAGAAACTGGAAACTGGGTGCACTGCTGATGGGAATGTAAACCGCGCAGCTGCTGTGGAACACAGTACGGAGGTTCCTCAGAAAAGTAAATCTAAAACTACCATATGGTCCAGCAACCCCACTCCTGGGTGTTTATCCAAAGGAATTGAAAGCAGGGAATCAAACAGATACTTGCATACCAGTTTTCTTAGCAGCATTCTTCACAACATCCAAAACAACCAGCAGGTGGAAGCAGCCCAGGTGGCCATCAACAGATGAATGTATATGCCTTACGTCCATACGTACATACATGCATACGCACTTACGTGTCTAGCCATAAAAAGGAATGAAATTCCAATGCATTCTACAACTTAGACGAACCTTTAAAGCATTATGTTAAGTGAAATAGGCCAAACACAAAAGGACACATATGACTCTACTTATATGAGGCACCAAAAGTAGGCAGAAAGTAGACTGGCAGTTGTAGGGCAGGTGGGAAGTTATCGATTGTTGTTTAGCAAAGTCCAGAGTTTCTGTTTGGGGTGATGAAAAGGTTCTGGAAATAGTGGTGATGACTGCAACAGCATCATGAATGTACTTTGTGGTAAAATAAAAATGACTTAAAAACATACAAAAATAGATGTTAATTTAAGTTTTCGTGTTTTTTAAAAATTTTTTAAAAATGTTTATTTATTGAGAGAGAGACAGAGACAGAGTGCGAGCAGGGGAGGGGCAGAGAGAGAGAGAGGGGGAGACACAGAATCCGAAGCGGGCTCCAGGCTCCGAGCTGTCAGCACAGAGCCCGACGGGGGGCTTGAACCCATGAGCCATGAGATCATGACCTGAGCCGAAGTCAGACACTTAACTGACTGAGCCACCCAGGCGCCCCCTACAAAAGTAAATTTTGAACGTTTATTTTTAAATGGCCTATCCAGTGTAGGTTTTTTTTCAGTTTATTTATTTACTTAAGTCATCACTACATCCAACATGGGGCTTGAACTCACGACCCCAAGATGAAGAGTCACACGTTTTTCCGACTGAGCCAGCCAGGTGCCCCCTATCTGGTGTGGTTTTAATTTCCATCCTTCATTATGAGATAGAGCACCTTTTCAAATATAAATCATCTGTATTTCTTTTCTGTGAATTCTGTTCCTCTTTCTCTTCCCATACTCTTTCCCAGTTAGTTTGTCCTGACTTGACTCATGATGGTTTTCTTTTCCAGGCAGAAGTGTTTTATTTTTATATAGTCAACTTTAATCATCTTCTATGGCTTCCGGATTTGGGTCATAGTTTTCCCCATTTCAGGATTATCTAGAAATCATCTCATGTTTTCTTCTACTTTTATGGTTTCAATTCTTCCATTTAAATTTTTTACCCATTTTATTTTTATCATTATTGTTTTTACCATGGGACAGTGCATTTCTTTTCACATTTTCCTGATTTTTAAAATTTTTTAAAAGACATTTTTTAACGTTTATTTGTTTTTGAGAGAGAAAGAGAGAGAGCAGGGGAAGGGCAGAGAGAGAGGGAAACCAGAATCCGAAGCAGGCTCCAGGCTCCGAGCTGTCAGCACAGAGCCTGACGTGGGCTCGAACCCATGGACCGCAAGATCATGACCTGAGCTAAAGTCGGATACTT